GGCGGGGGAGGGGGGAAGGAGGGGCGGGGGAGGCGAGGGGGCAGCACAGGGCTGGGGGACCAGCCTACCCACGACTTCCAGGTACTGCCGCACCACGCTCTTGGGCTCAGGGCCCAGGAAGATGTACATGTCCAGGATCCCACCCGTGGACCGCCAGCTGAGGGCCGGGCTGGGCTGCAGGATCACATCTGGGGGAAGCAGCCCTGGGGCTCAGGGACAGATCCCTGCGCCCCATACTGCCCCCACGCCCCAATCTACAGCCTGCTTGTTGTCTGGGGAGGGAAATGCTGAGCCGCCAGACCCCAGGACTCCCCTCTCTGGCCTCCGCTCAGATCAGGGGCCTCAGAGTCCACCTTGGGGGCACCTCAGGGCAGAGCTGGCAGAGGCTACAGCCCACTGGAGTCACTTCTTGGGGGGACGCACAAGCCCCAACCCCCCATGGCCCCAGTCCTCTACCTCCAGCCTGTCGGGCAGGTCCCTCCGTGAAGGAAGGGGACGCGGCCACACCCGGGACAGCCCCTGGCCTGGGAGCTCAGAAGGACGATTGGCCGTGGGACACGGGGACAGGATGCGGGCTGGGGGTGGCCGCCCACCCACTTACCCATGGCATTGCTGTTCAGCAGGAAGACCCCGTGAGCCAGGCCGCCGTCCTCCAGCACCAGGTAGAAGGGGTGGGACCCGTACAGGTTCACGTTGGGCTGGGCACGTGGACACACACGTTAGCAGCCTCACCCACATGGCTCCCCCGCTCCCCCCATCTTCACTGCCCCTTGTACCTCGGGGGCGATGTCCCGGTTCCACAGGGTGATCTTGGTCCAGTTGGTGCTAAGCATCAGGGAGCCGAGATGCTCGGCCAGGCCCGTGATGTGCTGGGACGGCAGAGAGGTGGACAGCTGCAGAAACTGGTCAGCAAAGAACAGGGGGGCCACCGTCGTGTTCAGCCTGCCAGGAAATGCCCAGGCAGCCAGATGAACCTCAGGTGGGCCCTCCCAGAGAGACCCCTGGGCCCTGGTATCCCCCCGAGGAGGGCCAGAGTGGCCTGGTCACCACGGTGATGCACTGACGCGGGGCAGACGTGGCCATGCGAGGCCCGGCGACCCTGGGGACCTGACCAGGTGTGGAGAGCTCTCAGAGCACATCTAGCGCACCCAGCTACCTGGCTGTGTCCACACTGCCCCCAGGCGGGCATCCAGAAGTGGAGTGCCCCATGAGGCCTGGCCGCAAGCAGGTGCTGGACAGGAGCGGCTCGAACTTGGCTAGCGCTAGGACTTGTGGCCCTGAGCTCTTTCCACAAGGGCCATGCTGCTCCCAGACTCTGGCCAAGGCCTGCCCAGCCCAGCCCAGCTCCAGAGCCCATGGAGCTGTCCATCCACCCAGGGGTGGCCAGGGTGCCCTGAGGTTGCACAGGGTCAAGGGCAAGGCAAGAACCACAAACGGGGCACAGAGTACATGCTATCGCTGATTTCCTGGGAAGATCTCCCACTGCCCCCTGCCTGCCCCTGGGCAAGACTTACGAGTGTGTATGTATGTGTTTTCAAGACCAAACTCTGATTACAGGCTTTAGAAAACTTCACTCAGATCTCTGCTCAAAGGTCAGCTTCCTAGAGAGGCCTTCTGTAGCTCCCCCCGACAGAGCCAACCCTCTCTTCTGCATCTGCACAGCTCATTTCTAGAACCTTCTTAGCTCTGTTATTTCTGACATTGTACTTGCACTCATTCACTGCTTCTTCCCACTGTGTCAGCCCTGGGAGCAGGTCGATAATGCACAGCCAAGAGTGGGCAAAAAAAAAAAGAAAAAAAGGGCATTTCAGAAGGGGAGTTCCTTTAAGACCAAGGTAGGTCCAAGTTACCTCATCCCCGAGCCCGTAACTGAGTTCAGTGACAAAGGGGAGTCTTGTCCGCTCTGGGCACATATTTACGTGGTGGTCCTGTGAAAGTGTGTGTGCTTAAATCCGTCAGGGCAGACGGGGGCGTGGGCAGGTCTGCTGCCCCGGCCCTGTGGCTGTGCAGGTCCACTCTGCGAGGGGAGGTGTCGGACTCTGGGAGTCACAGCTGTGGCACCTGAGTCTAAAAGTGGATTCTGAGATGCCTGGGTGAGTCCAATCCCCGGTCATGATGGGGGTGGTGGACGTGACGCGTCCCCCAGGGGCAAGGGCATGACCAACCAGATGCCCTGATTCTCCCGACAGAGCCTGAGAGCATCTGCTGTGGGTTGGAACCACTGTGGGAGCTGGAAGCCCAGGAGTGAGCTTCTGGAACGGGAACGGCTCCATGGCGGACAGACCACAGCAACGATTCGGACAAACCTAAGATCTCAGGGGGACACGAGCCCCGGAGGGACTGGAAACAGACAGCAGCCAACAGCATGGAAGCTGGGGCCCTGGCTCCGTCGCCTGCCAGCAAGCCACCTCACCTCCCTGTGCCTCAGTTTCCCCATCCGTAAAGCGGGGGCCGTAACGGCACCTACTTCTGTGTTGTTGGGATTGGCGGGGTTCACAGTTACTGCGCCTGCCCTGTCGTGAGTGACACACAGCATCTGATCGTAAATAACATAATGTAAACAAAGCGGGTCTGAGGAGATGCTCCCCGGGGGGAGAGGTGTCATTTCACACCCGACCCACCGAGCTTTCTCAGCCTCTGCACTTGTGACATTTGGGCAGGATCGCTGTATATGGTGGAGTCCCTGCCAGATGCCCCCTGGAGGAGACCGCCCCCAGCTGGCACTCCCTGGGGGCACGGAGACCACACTCACAGCACCCGGCCGTCCAGCTTCCGGCGCACGACCACCCCGAAGGGCTCCTCCTGGAGGTCCACGCTGTAAAGTGTGGATGAGGCCCGGCTGCGGACACGTGGGGTCTCCAAGGGCACCTCGTAGCGCCTGTTGGCGGGATCTTTGATCTAGAAGTCAGATGGCGTGCCGTGAGGCCCTCTGCGGGCCGGGGGCCTCCCCTGCACACCTTCCCCACCTTCCTCACCCTCCAGGAGAGCGGGGACCCAATGCCAGGCCCAGTGTGGCCGTGCACAGCAGGTGAGCGTGGGCAGTTTGGTCATCTACAGAACCCGGGGGAACGCCTCACGTGGGTCGCCAGGCAAAACACAGAACGCACAGTCTGAAGGTTTTTTTTAGTACGTCTCAAATAGTGCATGAGACACACACTGAAAAAATAAACTCATTGCTCGGTTTTCTGGAATTCAGATTTCCTGGCATCCTGTATTTTTATTTGCTGAAGCTGGCACCCCACACGCCCGTCACAGGGTGGGTGAGAATAGAATTGAGGGCGTCCAGCTCCACTCTGTTCGGCGCACAGTAGTAATCACTGGGTAAATGTTGGCTGTTATAAATTACTTTGCTAATTATGAATTGTGTGTTTCAGGCTGTCTCAGCTTGGCCTCCACATGTCCATTCAGTCCTCAGGTTTCTGCTGGGCACCTGCTATGTGCCAGACACTGTTCCAGGCACTGGGAGTCAGCAGGGAATAAATCAGACAAAAGGTCCCGCCCTCAGGGGGCAGACGATCATCAGATCCCACCGCCCACTGCCCGGAACATTCCCCTTCTTCCCTCTCCACCTTTCCCCTTGCGGACCCTTGCAGGACTTCAGGTCCCAGGTGGGATGTCACTTCCTGGGGGAGACCCAACTTCCCTCCACTGTGCCCTGAGCCCTGCCCTCTAGAGCATGTTCTAGAACCTTCCAATTGCTGTCTTAGTGGCCGCTGCTCCCTGAGCGTAGGCACTGTCTGCTCACGCCGGGACTCCCCGTGAAGGCACAAAACGCATCTGCCCCCTAAACACACGCCCGGCAGATCCATTCATTTTCGCCCGGTGCCCACCCACGTTTTCTCTGCCCCGTGGGGCCCCGCCCACCGTGAAGTGGAGTCGACTCTCAGTCTCCAGCAGCACGTCCAGGCGTAAGGTCAAGATGTCCTTGGGGAAGAAGGTTGGGGTGGCGCGGGTCAGGGTGGCCGTGTAGCCTGTCTCCGTGGTGGTCAGGTTGTGCAGCTTGTAACTCGGGTAGCTGGGTGGGAAGAAGCACCAGGGCTGTCCCATGCGGGGGACCCGAGGCCACTGCCCAGCAGGCACGTAGCAGCAGCCCCGGGCCTCACACTGCTCCTGGGTGATAGCCTTGTCCGGGGCGCAGTCGAAGCGGCTGTTGGGGGGCACGTCGCACCGTGTGGGAGCTGCTCTGGGACTGCCGTGGTGGCCTGGGGGGGCCTGGGGGCCTGGGTGGCCGGCTCCCTGCTGGCGAGCTCGATAAAGCCCCTCAGCCACTTGGGAGAAGCCACGCTGCTCTTGGGGGACCAGCAAGAAATCATGGAGCAGGACGTGCCCCAGGAGGGCAGCGGTGGCCAGGGACACGAGGATGTAGGCCCCCAGCAGGGGGCGGCAGCACAGCGGCCACCTCGCGTCCATGGTCGGTGGCACCTGCAGGCAGCGGGTTGGGTCCTGGAGGCCCTGCTGAGAGAAGGGCCGGGCTCAGCAGGGAAGGCGGAGGGAGGGGGCCTCAGGGGACTCACGCCAATTTCCAGACGTGGACCCGCGGCTGGCCCAGCAGCGCACAGGGTGAGGTGTGCGGAGAAAGCGGGGCGGGCGAGGGTAGACAAGCTCCTGGCACTGTTTGGAAAGACGGCAAGGGAGGGAACTGGAAAAGCAGAGAAAACCCCCGAAGAGGGGATTGCAGAAGACCCTGTACCGTGAAACGCACTGAAGATGTACGAGAAAACGGTTTAACGAGGGGCACCTGGGTGGCTCAGTGGGTTGCGCTGTTTTGCCTCACGTCATGATCTCACAGTTCATGAGTTCGAGCCCTGCGTCAGGCTCGAGCCCTGCTGAGAGCCTGGAACGTGCTTGGGATTCTCTCACTCCCTCTTTCTCTGCCCCTCCCCTGCTCAGTCTCTCTCTCTCTCTCTCTCTCAAAATAAATAAATAAACATTAAAAAAAAAAAAAAAAAAAAAAGGCTTAATGACACACAAAGACCTGGGTGGTAAACTGACGCACGGAACAAGAAGTTACAACATGGCGCAGAGAGTAAACTCTGCTTGTGCACGGACTGTGGCCGAGCTGCTAAGTTCTGGCAGATGCGCTAGAAGTGGGCGCGTCCTCAGGGGGACCCGCCACCGTCCCTCTGTTCCTCCTCTGCCGACCGGGAGGCGGCTCCAGCCCGGTAAGCGGTCTCGGGCACTGCAGCTGAGGGCGACACTCAAGGGCTGGCCTTGGCAGGTGGCAGCGCCCTCCCCGCCCCTGCGGTTACGTGTGGAGCATCTGGCTCCTCTGGAGATAGGACTGTCACTACCTGCGCTCGGCTTATGTGTACGTTCTAAATTCTCATAAGGAACGTTGTTGGCCGGCTCCTCCGAGGAGTGAGACATCAGCGTGGGACTGAACGTGCAAGGATTTCACGAGGGGCGTCCTTTCTGTCTGAGAGAAACTGCGGAGGCTGCCAGGGGCGGCCCGGAGGGTCACTCCGCACCCAGTCTGACCTCTTGGGAGTCAGGCCCGGGGAGGGGCCGAGGGTCCAAGCATCCCGGACTGCCGTGCAGGCTAGGGAAGGTTCCACAAGGCCAAGGGGCTGGGGTTGCGGGTGGGGGACCTGAGCCGAAGCTGGCCAGCAGGGGTGTCCGGGCCTCCCTGAGCAGCCTGCCCTCGTGCTGTGGGCCAGAAAGCAGCGTGGCCGCGGAGCAGATGGGGCCACGCATGCCAGCTCCGTGTGGTGGAGGCTCGTGAGATGCACGCGCCCTCAGGCCGCCAGGAACACGCAAGGGTTGGGAAGGAGTCACGTCGCGCACCGGGGAGTCTGAGCCTGTCACAGCCACAGACAGGTCCCCTGGGACATTCCGGCCACAGCGGGCCACAGCTTTAATTCACGGCACCTTTGAAGCAAATGTGTGCGGGGGTTTTTTCTCACGCCAACCAATCCTCGACACCAGCTGGGTCTCCCAGGATTCGTTTCGATTCTGGCCCGAATTCCTGGAGCCAGCGCGGACCCCACAGGTAAGGCCTCAGCCCCGCAGGCCCGTCCCCCTTCTGACCCCAGTCGCAAGCCCCACGTCTAAATAACTGGCAATCAACTCAAGGGTTCACCCCTCCCCCACCTCGGGTTGGGAATTGGCTAGAACCACTCACAGCACTTAGGGAAGAGCTTGGCTTACCGCGGCCCGTTTATTATAAAGGATGTAGCCAGAGGACGCGGGATGGGGCGTCCCCGCCCTCCAGCACCAAAGTGTGTTCACCGGCTCAGAGGCTCTCTCAACCCCGAGTTTTGGTTTCATTACACAGAAACGATTACTCAAATCTTTGGCCCTTGGCGATTGTCAATCACCAGCCCCTCAGTGCTCCTGGGGGTTGGGGGAGGGGAGGTGGGGCTGGGAGTTCCCAGCCTGGGTGCTTCTGGGGACCAGGCCCGACCCCGAAGCTGTCCAGAGGCCCCAGCCACCAGTCACTTTATTAGCACAGAAAACACACCGACCCTGCCAAGATTCCCAGGGTCTGTGTGCCACGGACCGGGGACAAAAACTAAATACTTATTTTTTTATTGTACAGCGTCCCAGCTGCACCTGCCCACCCAGGAACACATGACACCTCGTGATCACGGTGATGTAGGGACCGGAGCTGACGGGCCGGGCCCACGGGCCTCCCCACCCTGAGTTCAGAAGCGCGGGGGCGACCCGGGACACAGAGGGGCCCGCCCCCGGCCGCGCGCGCTGTTTCCACTCCACTGACAAGAAGAGCAGTCGGCCGGAGGGCCTGACAGTTTAGGCAAATGGGGAAACACTGAAGGTCAGGGAGGTCAAGTGCGCTGCTGGCCGGGAGACCCTGTGACCTCGCTTTCAGGGAAGTGGATCTTTCAGGGAAGTGGATCGGAGCCGCTGCTCCCCAGGCCAGGGTGGCAGTCCAGCTCCGCCCTGACGCGAGAGGCATGGGTCCCCACCCCGTGCCTCGGTTTCCTCCCCACAACGGGACAAGACGGCTCCCCTCGCCCAGCACCGAGGGCGCGGAGGAGGCCGTGGAGTCCCCGGGGTCCCTGTCGACACCGCCGCCCGCGGACCCGCGCACGACACGCTCCACTTGTCCAGCCGCGAACCAGAGAGGTTCAACCCGCCGAGCGATCGGTCCCTCCCCCTTGGGGCGTCACGACTGCCGGGACCCCCGGGTCTCTCGTCTCGGGGGCAGCCGCCGGACGCCCCCGCCCCGCCCCTCGCCGGGACCCCTGCGGCCCCCGGCCCGCTCACCTCCGCGCACGCGCGCCCCACCGAGGCCCACCCCCGACCCCGGCTCACCTCCGCGCACGCGCGCCCCGCCCGCAGCGGTCACCCGGGGTCCGGCGCCCGCAGGCACGCGTCAGAGGGGGGGGCGGGGTGGGCCACGTGACAGGCCGCCCGCGCAGGCGCCGTGGGCGAGGGTGCGCGTCTCCGGCCGCGCGCCCCCTGGTGGCGGGGCGTCCGGGTCCCGGCCCGCGCCGTCCGCCGGGCCCGCAGCGGGGGAGGGGGGAGGAGGGCAGGGGAGGGGCGCTCACCTGGCGAGACGCGCCTGCGGGGGACAGAGGGGAGCGGCCCCCGGGGTCGCCCGTTAACTGAAGCCGTTCTGGAAGGGAAAGCGTCATCGCGCCCATAAAAGCGGCTGTTGCGCAACGTGACAGGGCGCCGTGGGGGGCCCGGCGGGGCGAGGGTGCGGCGCGGGTGGGGCCGGTTTCCGACGCGCTCCCGGAGAAATACGCCTTTCCCCCATATTCAGAAAAAGTTTTATTTTTCGCTGAAAAGTTGGAAAGCGAAATTGTTTCGTAGGCCCTTTTAGGGCGGGGGCTGCTGGGGAGGCCCAGGGCAGGTGCGTCCTGGGGGCGCCCGTCCCACCCGCGCTCTCCGTGGGGCGCTCCCGCTGCACCCCGCGCCCTGGACCATGACGGTGAGCAGGCCTGTCAAGGGCGGAGGCGGGAGCCTCCCCGAACCCGGGCGCCGCTTGGACCTCGAGTCCAGCGCGGGGTGGGAGACACCCCACCTCTGAAATGCCACCGGAAACGTAGCGGGAGTGGGGGGGGGGGCCTTAGTGGAAATTGCTGGTGGCTGAAAGAATCACGCCATGCTGGCCTGCCTATTCGTCGTAAAGGACCTCTCTGAGGGTGGACGTGGCTTTCGGTGACACGAACGTTCTAAGTCCCTGATCATACACAAAATTCTGGTCTCTTCCATGGGAGCAGGCTGGGGGGAGGTCCCGGCTGCTCTCTAGGAGGACCCAGATGGCTCGAGCTTGCTGGCGATCATCTGGCTGACCTTGAGCAGGGCCTCCTGGAACTGGGGGTACTCGTCCTTCACGTGGTGGAGGATGGTGCTGATGACGGCCAGCCGGTTGTCCAAGCGCTTGTGCTCCGCCAGCAGCGACTGCTTGGAGCGGAACAGGAACACGTACCTGCCGTCCTTCACCGCCTGGAGGTGCTTGAGGCGCGTCTGCAGGGCCACCAGCTCCGAGAGGTTCTTGGGTGGGACAAGAGACCCCGTATCAGGTTAGGCAGGTTGAAAACAGGACACCGGCTTGCCCCCACACAAAGTCAGGACTCAAGGAAATGCCAGGTGGAGAAGGGTGAAGGAGAGAGATTCTCCAAACCGTGGAGAAGAGGCAGATGTGCGCTTTTCAGACCCTTTTCCTTCGCCCGTCGTCTGAGAGACCTTTAACGCTGCCAGGTGCCCGCCCCCAGAGCGGACACTTGTCGCTACCTCCCCTGTCTGGGCTGATCAGGCTTGGACTCGGCAGACTCAGCTGGCCCCTCTCTTCTGCTCACACCACATCCGATCTGGCGGGAAAGCCCACGGGGGCGGCTGAAATTGTCCGCAGAATCCGACAGCTTCTCACTAGCCTCACGGCTACTGCCCTGGTCCATGTGGCATCTCAAACAGCCTCCGGTGTCTACCCTCCACCCTTCCATCCCACACACTCAACGTCAGAGCCAGAGCGGTCCTGCTAAGACCCGAGCCACTCCTCAGCCCCCAGCCCTTCCCTGTCTTCCCGCCTCCCCGAGAAGAACCCAAAGCCATGATCACCCCATCACTGTTCTCTGGCTGCCCCTAGAGTGGTCTCCTGCCCTGCGTTACCCAGCCGGCAGCTCACCCCCTCACTGCCTTCAAGTCTGGACTCCAATGTTTTCTCAGACCCCCCATCCAACCCTGAGGCCCCTTCTCTGCTTTTTCCCCAGAGTATTTACCACCACCTAATTCTCATTCATTGTGTTTACCATCTGTTCCTCTGCCCCTCAAATGTGACGGTCAGGAGGGCAGGGATCATTCTCTGTCCTGGTCTGGTCTGTAGCCTTAGCACCCAGGACAGCGCCTGGCCCACAATGGATGTGCGGTGTCATTAGATGGTTAGAGAAGACGAGATGAGCGAGGAATCCCAAAGCGGCTGGCAGCGCTGTGATCCCTGGGCGAAGTGGGTCGGGAGGAGGTGCGCCCGAGGAGGCAGAGTGGCTGCTGCGAGGGGCAGACTCCACACCCGGGTTCTTGTGGCCCTGCTGGCTCGGGGGACGTGCCTACCTGTTGCTTGAGGGCCAGGAGCTGGCCCAGGCTGGCCTCGAGCTCGTCGGTCCTGGACTGCATCTTTGACAGCTGCTCTTGCTTCTCCAGGAGGGAGTTGCTCATGTGCTTTTGCGTTTCTTCCAGTTCCAAGATGGCTTTGGTGCACTCCTCGGTGGCCTGGGGACCGTGCGGGGACGTGGTTATTTAGTGGACAGAGTCAGGCTAGCAGGATATACTCTGGGGAGGATTCCCGTGAGGATGGAGACAGTCCCTGCCCCTCGGGAACCAGGACCCGGAGGGGAGAGTCCCAGTGAGACACCGGGGCACGGGTAAGCCCACACTGCAGACCGCTCCGCAGAGGCAGGCGTGGCTTGGGCAGAGACATGGGGGCCTGAGCAGTTCTGGGGCCCCTCTCTTGCAGCAGGTCCATCTGCCAGGGCCCAGGGACCAGGGGCAGCTGAGCAGCTGCATGCCAAGGCTGGGAGCAGATGCCTGGGCAGGAGCTAAGGCCTCGCAGGGTGGGGGGCTGGGAGTGGGAGTGGGGGGGGGCGGGTTCTGGGCAGGTGTGGGAGCCCCAGGGATGGAGAGGGATGGACCTCACGAATGACCAGCATGGCAGAGAGGACCGGCCAAGAAGGACCAAGAAAAGGCCACTCTGCCGCCTCCAGTAACTCCCAAATGAGGAATTGGGTCAAGTCTTTCATTTTGGGCTACTCTGTCCTTATGCAAGATTTACACCTACGGGGGCTATTCCAGCACCCTCCATGGGATCCTCTGGGCGACTCCACCAGACGAGTGCCCATTTCACAGGTGAGGAAGCCGAGGCACAGAGCTGTCCGGCAATGTGCCCGAGCCCCGAGTGCAAGAGCTTGACGCCGGTGGGGCTCTGAGGCCAGGTTCCGTGTCCCGTGAGCCTTCACCTACCACGGCTCCCCTACCTTGTGAACGTCCCTGATCTTGCGTCGCAGCTCTGTCTGCTTGCGGTGGAAGTCCGTCCGGGTGAGCAGCTTCTTGTCCGTCTTGCGCTGCCCCTCGGCCTGGGTGGAGATGGTCTCTCTGCGGGCGATGGCCAGCTCCATGTCGTGGATCATCTTCTCCTGCTGCTTCAGCAGCTGCCCGTGCCTGACCTGGGCACACAGGGCAGAGGGGCGGCGAGGGAGACTGAGGCACGGTCAGCACAGCTCCACGGAGCCCCGGACCGGCACGGGGACAAGGGGGATGCGCCCGGGGACACAGGGATCGGGGGGCATCGCCAGCTGGTCAGAACGATTTTCAGGTCCACGTAAAGAATGCACGGGCAACAGGAGACTAGAAAGGGCCAGAGGCCAAGGGGGGTTGGCAGACAGAGGACACGGCTTGCAGCCTGGCTGGGATTCTGGAGCAGCACAGGGACGGTAGGTTGATTTCTTTAAAAAAAATTTTTTTTAACGTTTATTTATTTTTGAGACAGAGAGAGACAGAGCATGAATGGGGGAGGGTCAGAGAGAGAGGGAGACACAGAATCTGAAACAGGCTCCAGGCTCTGAGCTGTCGGCACAGAGCCCGACGCGGGGCTCGAGCTCACGGACCGCGAGATCATGACCTGAGCCGAAGTCGGCCGCTTAACCGACTGAGCCACCCAGGCGCCCCGGTAGGTTGATTTCTTACTCGTGGTTTTGTAAGATGGTAAGGTAAAGGGTCTGTGGGACCAGGGCTGGGGCCCCAGTTGTTGAGGAGGCTGACCGTAGGGGCCACGCAGGGTTTTCTCGAGCGGTGGGAGTGTTCTGTCTCGGGTGTGGGGGTGTCGATGTGGGCCCGTGCTAAACCCGTCCAACTAGACATTTAAAATAAGTACATCTGATTGTGGGTAAGTTCTGCTTCAGAAAAGTGGGTTCAAAATAGAAAAGGATAAACAGGGGCGCCTGGGTGGCTCAGTCGGTTAATCGTCCGACTTTGGCT